GGTCACGGTGGGTCAATAACAGCACCTGTGAGACTTTTAAACATTGAGAACTTGGGAATTTGAATTAGAATAATGGTTCTCAAATTTGCCTATTGGATGTGGAAAAATGTATCTCGACTTATTTTGGTTAATACTGACACTTTATGGTTTGTAACAGCTCCTGGATGAACAGGTTTGAGAACCACTGATTCAGAAAGGGCCTATGGCCCTGGCTGGCTGAGGTCAGTGGACCCGTGAATCTGAAGGGCACTTTCTGTGTCCCTTGTTTAGGAGGGTCAAAGCTGTCAACTTGTAAACAGGTCAAGTCACTGTCTTCTTGCTGTTGCAGTGTCATAAAATTTGTTTACATCTGTTCAAAAACCTTGTTTAATTTTTTTTGTAATGTTCTGCTCTTCATAAGGAATACAGGCTGTTGGCCGGGTGCGGTGGCTCAAGCCTGTAATCCCAGCACTTTGGGAGGCCGAGACGGGTGGATCACGAGGTCAGGAGATCGAGACCATCCTGGCTAACACAGTGAAACCCCGTCTCTACTAAAAAATACAAAAAACTAGCCAGGCGATGTGGCGGACGCCTGTAGTCCCAGCTACTCGGGAGGCTGAGGCAGGAGAATGGCGTGAACCCGGGAGGCGGAGCTTGCAGTGAGCTGCGACAGCCTGGGCGACAGAGCGAGACTCCGTCTCAAAAAAAAAAGAAAAAAAAAAGGAATACAGGCTGTTTTAGAACAGTCTTGGTAAGGCAGTTTATAGAAGCTGAAGGTTGCTAAATATTGCTAAGGCAGCTAGCCTGGTAATCATGGACTCTATGCAAAGCACTTTAAACAAATTACCTGCCCCCCACCCCCCCAATAGCTCTAGCTGGAAATAGCTCAGGGGCATGGGAGGGAGGGAGTCGCCCCAAGAGAGTGGGTGAAAACAGTTGTTGGGATTTTATACTCACAGCTCCCAGGGTAAAGTAACCTCTCTAGTTATAATCAGACTCCTCTATCATGTAGGGGAAGCGTAGAAGGACGTTAGAAAACCTGTGAGGAAAAGCTTCTTCCCGTGGCCTTCAAATATCTCCTGGAGTAGCTGAAAGAGGAAGAGACTGAAATAAAAAGAAGTTAAAAGAAGCAAAGGCAGCCTCAAGCCTCATAGGTCCCACAGTACTCTGAAACCCAGGGAGCTAGGACAAGCCCTGGATGCTGAAGAAGGCAAGAGTTTGGGGACACCTTCCCACAGAACCAGGAAGCTGGGCGGGGCTCATCCCCAGGAGAGTAGATGGCGAACGCCCCAGCAGTCCTTAGACCCTGTAAATATTACATGTTTAGCCCAGTTATTCTGCATGAAGGCACGGTTTTTGATGTTTCTGTTAAACTATTGTAATAAGTAGCTACATTTAAGAAACTGAGGTTAAATTATATAGAGAGTTTATTTGGGCCAAGATTGAGGATCGCCACCTGGGACACACTTCCCAGTGGCCTTGGGGACTGCTCCTTTCAACCTTTGTTACAAGCAGGTTTTTAAAGGCAAAAGGGGCTGGGTGCGGTGGCTCACGCCTGTAATCCCAGCACTTTGGGAGGCTGAGGTGGGTGGATCACCTGAGGTCAGGAGTTCAAGACCAGCCTGGCCAACATGGTGAAACCCCATCTCTACTAAAAACACAAAATTAGCTAGGTGTGGTGGCACATGTCTGTAGTCCCAGCTACTTGAGACAGGAGAATTGCTTGAACTCAGTGGGGGAGGTTGCAGTGAGCTGAGATTGCGCCACTGCATTCCACCCTGAGCGAGACTCCGTCTCAAAAGAAAAAAGGCAAAAGGGGACAAGGAATGGGCCAACACGAAGTCGCTTGACGGGAATACTCATTGATTTACAGTATAGGGTATGGATTGTGGTGTCCAGCATATGGCATTTTATGGCTACTTGGCATCAGTTCATCTGGAGCCCACATAGCAAGTGGTTTCAAGGTCATTATTAGCTCAAGGTGGGAGTGAGACGTGACCGCTGTCACACGTCGTCACATTTCAGTGCATCTCTAGGCCTGATAATTAAAGGGGCTGCCCTTCCTCAGATGAGTTTCTTTTTCTTCTCAGCAGGGGGAAGCTTATGTATATTGATCTCTGTATTTCTGGGTACTTCAAGCAGACTGCATGCCCTGCTCTCAGCTGCTGAAACTCACATGTCCCATCCGATCTTCCTGCCACCCCAGAGTTTAACATGAAAATAAGCCTCTCTCTCCCTCTCTCAGAAGCTGCTTGTACCTGTGTTCCAGGGCTGCCGTAACAAAGTGTCACAAACCAGGTGATTTAAGCAACAGAAACTGAGCGTTTCACAGTTCTGGATGCTGGAAGTCTGAGGTCAGCGTGCTGCAGGGGTGGCTCCTTCTGAGAGATGGGAGGAAGACTGTCTTCCAGGCCTCTCCCCAGCTTCTGGGTGTTCGCTGGCAATCTTTGGCGTTCCTCGGCTTGTAGAAGACTCACCCCGGTTTCTGCCTTCATCTTCACACGTCGTTCTCCCTGTGTGCATCTACCTCTGTATCTGAATGTCCGTTTTGTAAGAACATCGGTCATTGGATTGAAAGCCCACTCTACTCCAGTATGACCTCATCTTCACCAGTTATATCTGCAATGACCTTATTGCTAGATAAGGTCACATCCTGAGATGCCAGGGGTTAGGATTTCAGCATCTGAATTTTGAAGGGACGTAGTTCAGCTTATAATACTCCCCTTTTACCAATTCCATAGTCCCCAGCTTCAGCCACAGCAGTCAGGTCCCCTCAGCTGGTGTTTTATAGTGACCGTAACCTTCACCAGGGGATTTTAGCTCATGAGCTATTCCTAGCCAGCCCTGTGCTCTTGCACTTGGCATTGTGTTCGTTGCTCTACTCGCCTGGCACAGCTGCCTTTACCATTGCCAGTGGCCTCAGCTGAGAGGTGGGTGTGGGGACAGCGATGTGGGCAAGGTCAGGATGGTCTCCTTGCAGATCCCTGCACAGTGAACATTTGTTCACTGAATGAAAACACATGTGCAAATAAACAGCAACAGCAACAATAAACTTTGAACAAAATTTCCACAGTTCAGCACCCAAAGTAGACCATGTGTATGATTAAGTAACATCTTCATTGTGGCTTTGTGTTTAAGCCAGCTTAGCTCATGTCTGAATGCAATTCTTACCTGGCCGCAAAATCAGACAGGAGCTCTCCCTCCCTGCCTTCCCAGGTCAAACCTCTACTAATCCCCTTTTCATCTCTGCACAGCTTCTGATCCAAACGACAGGGACGTCACAGCTGCCTCCTTCCATCCATGTCCCTTGCTGTAACTAATCCCATCTTCCTAGGTCTCTTTTCTTTCTGCCACGTGACATGCCCTCTCTTGGATTTCTCTTCTTGATGCCTCAGTGGTTCTGATGGCCCTGCTACCATGACACCTGGCACCTTTGTTCACCTGGCAGCTGACCTTCTGGTTGTTCACCTCTACCCTGCCTGGAAGGACTAGGAGCTTTCCTCCTTCACTCTCCTCGACCTGGCCCACCTCACTCTCTGAAGATTGTAGTCACTCCAGCCTCCCACCTCTTGAAACCACTTACTCACACCTCTAATACCCATAGTTGTAAGAGAATGAAAACTGTAGGCACACCTACTCTTACAACATTCATAAGACACTGTGAAAAACATGAAGGTTATTATTTTCTTGTCTTTCTTTTCCTTTCCTTCCCTTTCCTTTCCTTCTCTTTCCTTCTCTTTCCCCTTTCCTTCCCTTCCCTTTCCTGTTTCCTTTCCTTTCCTTTCCTTTCCTTTCCTTTTGTTTTTTTCCCTCCCCTTCCCTCCCCTCCTCTCTCCTCTCCTCTTCTTTTTTCTTTTCTTTCTTATAAAGACAGAGTCTCACTCTGTTACCCAGGGTGAAGGACAGTGGCACGATCATAACTCACTGTACCCTTGAACTCCTGGGCTCAAGCAATCCTCCTGCTTCCACCTCCCAAGTAGCTGGGACTACCGGCATGTCCCACTGTGCCTGGCTAATTTAAAAAAAATTTTTTTGCTAGAGACCAAGTCTCTCACTATGTTGCCCAGGCTAGTCTCAAACTCAGGCTAAGCAATCTTTCTTCCTCAGCCTCCTGAAGTGCTAGGATTACAAGTGTCACCCATCTTGCCTGGCCTGTTATTTTTATATATAATCTAAGCCTCTATCAATGAGCTAAAAAAATAGCTCAATATTTTATTTAACCTTTGGTAATAAGATCTGTCAGGATTCCTGACTAATACATTAGGAGACCTTTCTCCTTCTTCCCTATTCCTATTTGAGACATATGCATTCATTCAGCCCGTACTGGCTTACCGCCTACTGTGTTCTAGTCACTGGTAACAAATTCTGATACTGGAAGGACTACAAAAGCACCTCTGCAATGCCATTTTCCAGCATGCAGGACTATACCCTAAGTTGCCACCCTCTTCCCAAAAAGTGAAATAAAAGAACTGGCAAGTGCGAAAAAGCTAGCTTTAAAGTTTTATGGAAAGGCATGTTAACATCTAGAAATTTTCTCTTAGTAAATAATTAAGAATATGTGTAAACATTTAGCTTCAAACCTAGCCACCAAGCATTCTTTTGTAGTATCAAAATGATGGAAACCACCTAACTGTGTAACAGTAGGAGACTGGGCAAGCTGATACTCAGCAAACTCTCAAAAAGAAATTCAGTTCATTGAAGGGAATTCAAAGAAATAAAATGTAGAAGCATATCGTGAAAAGATGATCATGGTTTACAAAAGAGTGTGTGTAATACAATCTCATTTTTATGTTAAAACACAGAACAATAAAAGAACTTGGTGATTAGAACCCAGAGCATTGGCTGTGACTCACTCTGGGTAGAGGGATGAGATTATAGGCCATTTTTTTCTATTTGCATATCTCATTTTTCTGCGACGAACAAATACTACATTTAAAATTGTTTTTAAGCTTTTGAAATAAAAAGAATATAAAGATATCCTTTTCTAAATATTTCCACATATGCCTTTTGACCCATTGCAGCTTATAGTGATTTAGGATACTACATTATCAATAAACTGCACCACGTGGACGAGTCGGTGGGGAGCAAGACGAGAAGGGCCTTCCTGTACCTCGCCGCCTTTCCTTTCATGGATGCAATGGTGAGTAGGGAAGATCATTGGCTTTCTTTCTTTTTCTTTAGCTGGTGGTAAAATATACATAATATAAAATTTACCATTTTAGCTATTTTTGTGTGTACAGCTTAATGTCAAGAAGGACATTCACATTGTTGTGTAACCAATCTTCAGAACTCTTCGTCTTGCAAAACTGAGATTCTGTCCTCATTCTGCCCAGCTCTGGGCAGCCTCCATTCTACTTTGTAACTCTACAAATTCGACTACTTGAGATACCTCAAAAGAGTGGAATCATACAGCGCTTGTCCTTTTGTGACTGACTTATTTCACTGAGCGTGTCTTCAGGGTTTATCCATGTAGTCGCAGGTGTCAGAATTTCCTTCCTTTTAAAGACTGAGTCACTTTCCAGTGAATGTCTAGGCCACATCTTGTGTATCCGTTCATCAGCTGATGGACACTTGCATTGCTTCCGCCTTTGGGTTCTTGTGAGTAATGCTGCTATGAACATGAGTGCGCAAATATCTGAGTCCCTGGTTTTGGTTCTTTGGGGTATATACCCAGAAGTGGAATTGCTGGATCATATGCAAATTTGATTTTTAATTTCTTGAGGAAATAGCGGACTGATTTTCATAGCAGCTATACCACCAGCAGAGTACTCAGGTTCCAATTGTCTGTTGACTTTTAACCAGTCCATCTTGTCAATGTATTTAATTTTGCCACAAGTTCTGGTAGGTGGCAGGAAAGCCCATTTGAAAATTTTGTTGCAGATACACAGTTCTTTTCTGATATACTCAGGATCAAAGGATCAGAATCACTTTCTGATAAACTTACCACTTGTGTGGCACAGACACCCACAGTTTCAGATAAGAATCTGTTGAACATACTGGCAGGGATTCATTATTTTAATAACCAGCTTTACCCCATTAGCTCAGGGCTGCCCACTTCCATAAATTCTTTGTCATGATACTGAGGAGTGCTTAAACAGCGCTTTCATTCTCTTCTGCTGTCTTATAAATATAAAAAAGACTTAGCAGAAAAGGAAAAAAATAGATATATGTATATGTTTTCCAATAAGGTCCAGTGCTGGAAAGTAAACCCTTTCCTTTGGCTCCATTTTGAATTATTCTTGGAAGGAGACTTAAAAATATGTTAGTCTGTATAGTTTTTTACCACCCCCACCTCAAGTTTATATGCAGTTAGATGCATGATGTAAGTGCATAACTGGCTTCCCTGCAGTGCCTGAATTAGCCCATGGTGGTGGCCCAGTTAGAGAACTGAAGGAAGTGGCCTTTCTGACATCCCTGAAGAGTCGAAGCCCAGCTTCCTGGCCAGGTCCATGCTGTTGCTCTGAGGTCTGTCCTCCCATCTGTGTTGGAAGTGGGACTCTACACACATAGAAGAGTTACAGTTATACGGTGAATTCCAGGAACTCAGGACTGTTAGTAAAAGTGGATTGCAGATTCTTAAGGACCTGGTAGTCCATGTCCCGTTAGCTGTATTTATTTGCCATAAGAGACTTTCTGAAATCAAACAGAACACCAGAGCATTTGTAATTGGTACCCTTTTCTTCCATGTTTCTTCTGTAAGTTCCCCCCAAAACCCTGGTATAACAGCACGAGATGGCTAATAAAAATGAAAATAATGAACATTTATAAGGACCAGATCAACTCCTCCCTCCCCACCCCCTCACCCCGGCAGCATGGCGCTGATGTGTGGGTTGGAGAGAGAATGTTTAAAGCCAGGAAGCTTATTATATGGTGGCTGTCAGACAACAAAGCCAGCCCACAGCCGTGATTTGCAGATGGGCAGGGAATTAGCTGTTGCTCTGCTAAGTCTTGATGTGGACCTGGGGAATAGACCCTGCTTGTCGCATTGTGCGTAGCTCAGATGAAATGTCATTTCTGTGTCAGTCCAAATCAACCTTGAAGGTAAGAAGAATGATCCTTAAACAGAGCCCGTCATGAACTTGAAACCTTCTCCAGACCTGCTGTTCCCCGGGCTTTTCATCTGCTCCCCTCATAGCACCTTCCTCCTCATCTCCCAAAGTGTCAGGTCAGATCCTGCCCAAACTTGAAGGCAAGAAAACAGTAGACTCTAATCAGTCAGTGAGCGCCGGTAATAACTGTAATAACTCAGACCCAAATGAGAGCCCTCATGATGACATGCATCACGTGGGAAGGATGCTGCTTTGGGACTGAGATGCTTGAGAGAGAGAGATTGCGTTTCCTCCATTCTTGGTATTCCTTCAGCTTTCCTGCCAGGCATACAAACCTAATAGTGCACTAGTCTGCATGCAATTGGTGCTAAATAAATACCTGCGTGCAGTCCTTCACTCCACTGGAAAACTCTAACGTGGAACCAGCCACCAGATCAAGTTACAGTAATTTTACCAACCAAAGATTTATCAGACCTTGGCGCTAAGGCTCTGAGGGGCTATAAAGTATATTTCAGGAATGTCCAGTAAATCGCATCAACCAGAAACAGCATAATATTGAAGGTGTATCTCATGCCAAATTCTTTTCTTTCTGGCAGGCATGGACCCATGCTGGCATTCTCTTAAAACACAAATACAGTTTCCTGGTGGGATGTGCCTCAATCTCAGATGTCATAGCTCAGGTAAATATGGTCTGTGTGTCAATCAGAGTTCCTCAGAGTCCCCTTCTGGCATGTGTAACTGATGTGTGATTTACATTCATTCACTGTGCAGTACATTCTGCATTTGACCTGGTTTTGCCAGCACTGTTATATCACATAGAGACCTCAATAAATATTTGCTAAATGGTTGAGAAAAGGAAACTCGCTGTAATAAAAGTGTGTATAATCTTGCTAGAATACGGGCTGTAAGAATTTAAATTTAAATAAAGAGGTTTTGACCTTTATTTTTAAAGAGCTTGCATGTGAGATGACTCTACAGTCATACCTAGTACCTTTTGGCATGTCTTAGGGTCACTGTACACTTGCCTGGGTGCCCTCTGTGTGGCCTAACACTATGTCACTGTGTTCTAGAGAGAGGGCTCTTAGGAATTATTCTTAAACGTTCTTATAATCCTCTGTTGTTACCATGCAGAGCTGCCATTCACAGGTCACTTCCCCACATTTAGAAAGAACCAGGAAGTTGATTCAGCTGCCTTTCCACGCTGTCTGAGAAGAAGGCCTACATCCCACTCTCTGTTGGGTCCAATTCTCTGAGCCCTGGCACTCAACCCTGGCTTTCTGTCCTTTCTTCTTCTACCAAGGATAGAGCATGAACAATTTTAGTGGAAAAATCGATTGAATTCCTATGATTTATAAGTTAGACTAAGTTCCTACAGTCAGGGATTTGGGAGAATGATTTCTTCATAGAGGAGAAGGTTAGACTATATCTCTACATGCCCTTCCAAATTCTCATTTCTTTCTTTTTTCTTTTTCTTTTTTTTTTGAGACGGAGTTTCGCTCTTGTCAAATGGCATGATCTTGGCTCACTGCAACCTCCACTTCCCAGGTTCAAGTGATTCTCCTGCTTCAGCCTCCTGAGTAGCTGAGATTATAGGCACCTGCCACCATGCCCAGCTAATTTTTGTATTTTTAGTAGAGACGGGGCTTCTCCATTTTGGCCAGGTTGGTCTCAAACTCCTGACCTTAGGTGATCTGCCCACCTCAGCCTCCCAAAGTGCTGGGATTACAGGTGTGAGCCACCACACCCAGTCTCATTTCTATTCTATGAACATTTCCATACATTTTTCCTTTCTTGCACACCCTGATCTCTTAGCCCCCTTCTTGAAATAATCTACTGTTGAACTGTTAGTATGAAGACCAATAATTTCCAGATTAATTGTGTTTACTCCGTGGATCACTATTATAAGTAGTTTAAATGGATTTCTACTAACACATTGTGTGTGTGTGTGTGTGTGTGTAAATACTAGCAATACTAGCAACCATCATTCTTTGGTATGTCTTTGTTAATTTTCTTAAGAGTGAATAGAGAAGTTTGTCCCAGTCTTACTGTCTGTATCCTCTGGGAGATGAACTAGACTGCCTTATTCACTCTAATCACTTCATTTGAAATTCAGTAAGCCTCTCTAATTTCAAACACTGGCATCAGCAAGTCGGTGAGCATTTGTGAGCACACATTTGTAGATGTGTGTTTTTTTAAAGGAAAAAAAAAAAAAAATTCCTTAACTTTGCCTGAAATAAACATAGTAGCCATCCAAGGACAGAAGAAGAAAAGTGTATCTCTGAAAAAGACTTTGCCAATACACCTACAGCCATTTTCCTCCTCTGTTTTAAACCTGATCCTGGCCCTTGCCTGTTGAGGGAAGGCCTGCAAGTTCAGAATAAACAGATCTGGTTAGTGGGAGCGTGGAAGCCAAGTTCAGATGCCATCTGGCTTCAGGCTGTGCCTGGTGGAGTAGTTATTTTAAACCTTGTTGCTTGAGTTCCTACCACAATTTGGCTAGGGGAATAAATTCTCTTTTTAAAGTCTTTTACCCTCAGGCTTCCGCTTATTACCTGAAAATATTTGTTAGGTATGAAAACATACCTAAGTTGGTAATGAGTAAATAGATTCCATGCAAAGTACTTTGAAATACCACCTTGGCATAAATAGCACATAATCACCAATCACCAGTGATAAAATGGAAATCATTTATAATGCCTCAAATTTCAATGGCAGTTCTTGGGGGGGGGGGTTTGTTTTGTTTTGTTTTGTTTTCAAGTTTTACTAAGTTAATGGGTTTCACATAATAGTACAAAAAACCTCTTGGTTTGGTGCAAACATGCAGTGCTTTTCTGTGCCGTCATTATTTTAACAGTTATATGTTCCAGTCAGTCATTGCCAAGGGATTCGTGAAAACATATTGCTGTTTTTGTTTTATTCCCTGGTCATCTGGACCTTCTTAGCTTGCTTGATATCAAGGTGAGAAATCTCAAGGTTGTTTGCCGTCTTCAGATTTCCATCCTGTAACTCCTCTGCTATCATCAGCCCTTGCCTTTCAAGGTCAGCTGACATTCCAAGGCTGGTCAGATCATAATGTGTACATCCCCTGCATTCCTGTAAATTCCCTTATCTCCTGCCTTTTCATCTCAGCCTTCTGAGAAAATTCCTCTGAACCAACCCTGTATTATGCATCTTCCTGCACTTCCGTGGTGCTTCTGCAAAAGGTTACACCATGGAACAAACTGATCAAACTGTGAATGCACAATCTTATCCCTCACCTCTGCTGACTCTGTAGGAACTATTTCAGAGGGTGTTTCTCTGCCTCTCACCTCCCAACATATAACCTCATTTCCCACCTCACAGAGTCAGCTGCAGCAACCAAATTCATCACCTTCCAGCCAACAAACCTACACACTTACCTTCCAGCCCTGCATCCTCCCCATTCTCTTCTCATTGTAAGGGAGGAAGTGTCCCTCCCCCCATCCAGGGCCACTCCTCTGGGTCCTGGCCTGTGCTGCTTTCTCAGGAACCTGTTCCCTGCTTTCTCATGCATCGTTTCCCTTGTCCTGTCATGCTCAAATCTCTGCCATGTTAACACAGCAACAAGAAGCTTCCTGTGTATTTCACCTAACTCTGTAGCTACACTTCTCTATCACTTTATAGCCAAACTTCCTGGGAGGGTGGCTTCTACTCACTGTCTTTTTCACTTCCCTTTCATTCTCTACCTACTTGAGGCTGACTTCCACCCCCATCAGCCCACCTAGATGGTTCTTACTAATGACTTTCCCACCATTAAACACAGCAGGCAGCTTCCCCGATCTTCTCTCTGTTGACTACCCCCTCCTCAGTCACACACTCCTTCCCACCGGCCCTCCCACCGCTGCAGTCCTGGTTTTTACGTGCTTCAGCTTGTTTTTTCCATTGATATTTAGCCATTAAGGTTGATGTAGCTCAGGAATATGCATTGTCCTGCCTTTGTTCTCAGTATGCTTCTGAGGTCTTTGGAATGACTGGATCCCAGGAGGACTCTAGACAAAAGCTGGGCTGATTCTCTGATTTTTGCAGGACAGGGAGGTTAATACATTGTGAAGCTTGCTTTAGAGACTGTACCATTGGATAGAGATATAAACATTATTGTAATTTCATTCTCTCCTGACTCTGGTTATTTCAACCTATTCTACTTTTATAGGTTAGTATTTTAAATGTTAATATAAGTTGTTTTATAATTATTACTGTTGGCGTTTTTTGGCAGAATTTTCAGTGGCTCTTTTTTGAGGTAGGGTCTCACTGTTACCCAGGCTGGAGTGCAGTGACACAATTAAAACTCACTGTAACCTGAAACTCCTGAGCTCAAGTGAACCTCCCACCTCAGCTTCCAAAGTAGCTAGGACTACAGGCGCGCATCACCACACCTGGCTCATTTTTAAAAATCTTTTATAGAGATGGGGTCTCACTATGTTGCCCAAGCTGGTCTGGAACTGCTGGCCCCCAGCAATCTTCCAGCCTCAGCCTCCCAAAGCACTGAGATCACAGGTGTGAGCCATGGCACCCAGCCCATGTTTAGTGCCTTCGATCCTATAAACATTACTGTCTGTTTTCCTGTATACATCATTGATCACTTCTGTTTTTTTCTTTGTTAAATGTAGCCTAGTTCTCTGGTGTGTGTTACATACACACGTGAGTGCCCAGCCTCGAGAGGGAAAAGCTACATTAAGTTGGTAATGAGTAAATAGATTCCATGCACAGTACTTTGAAATACCACCTTGGCATAAATAGCAAGTAATCACTAATCACCAATGGTAAAATGGAAATTATTTATAATGCCTCCCATTTCAGTGGCAATTCTCAAGGGGTGTTTTTTTGTTTTGTTTTGTTTTTGTTTAATTTTACTAAGTTAATGGGTTTCACACAATAGTACATCTTGCACCAAATCTCCTGGTTTGGTGCAAACATGCAGTGCTTTTCTGTGCTGTCATTATTTTAAGTTATATGTTCCAGTCAATCATTGCCAAGGGATTCGTGAAAACATATTGCATAGATTGTTTTTTAAGCAGTAACCTTAAAAACGATGCCTTGAAAGATGCTTGTAGTTGCTTGAAAGAATTTTCATGGTGGGTATAACAGAATGATCAGTGTGTCCCTCCAGTCAACTGCAAACATCTGCACCTGAGTTACATGAGAGCGACACTAGGCCATCATCCAGTTTTCGCCTTTCTTTGCATAAAAATCAAGATCTTTGCTCAGAGGTCTGTCTCAGGTTCCAGAGCGTGGCCCTGTGCTTCTGTCGATCGGTTCCTGCTTCTCCCCTCTGACCTGTTCCCGTTCTCCCTTCTCTCAGGTTGTTTTTGTAGCCATTTTGCTTCACAGTCACCTGGAATGCCGGGAGCCCCTGCTCATCCCCATCCTCTCCTTGTACATGGGCGCACTTGTGCGCTGCACCACCCTGTGCCTGGGCTACTACAAGAACATCCACGACATCATCCCCGACAGAAGCGGCCCGGAGCTGGGGGTACGTCTGCCAACCCAACCGTGATCTAAGACTCGGAGTAGAATAAAACTGTGTTCTACCTCTTAGAAAATGAGAAATCAGTGACATCAAAACATGAAATTGGCCAGGATGTCATACCCAGAGGCTGAGTGCTAGGTGTCTGCCGGGAAAGACAGTCGGAGAATTAATGAACTCGAACAGATGGATGTGATCTGAGATGTCACTGTCCAGTCTCCTTATCCCACAGGAGGAGACAGAGGCACAGAGAATCTGTGGCCAAGGAATAGATACGACACTTGTGGTTTCTCTTGCTCTTCTAAGTTACTCTGCAGTCAACAGAGGTTTCAGGCCCCACGTTACCTTTGAGTTTACATTTCACTGTGTTTAATTTTATAGCAGGGATCCAGGCTTTGTTTATACTTTCTTCAGTGTACCAGTCCCTTATTCAGGTACCTCCTGGGGACCGAGTACAACATTAGGTACCATAGGGCAACACAGAAATTTTGAGATATGGTCTCTACCCTCAAGCAGCATCATATCCCGTTTGGCAGGTCAGAACAATACAGAAGCAACAATTAAACAGTCATCTGAGACAGCACATCACCTGCATGAGGATTTAGGAGCCACTAACACTGGGAGAAGGATTGTAGTGATATAGTGTAAGATGCCTCCTTGGAGGAGGCAGATCTTGCTGTGCCCTGAAAGTTGAATAAGAAACAAGTAGGAGTGAGATAGAGAACCTTAGAGAGATGACCAAAGCATTCTGTTTGTTGTAAGTATAAACCGTGTCTGATTTCTGCGTGTGCTAATTTTCCCTTCCCATAGGTATGAGACATCATTCAGTTTATCTGCATTTAGCTGTAAGGCATCTACAGCCCTAAATTCATCCCCTCACCTTACCCTGATCCCCACTTGGGCCACACATTACTTTGTGGTGTCAAGCAGTAATTGTTTTGACCACTTACCTCCATCCAAGGTCAGGCTGTCAGTGAAATCCTATCTAGTTATCTCATCACTAGGCCAACCACAAATTGGTCTTGATGGTAACAATCTGTCTCTTAACATTTAGCCACCAGCAAAAGGAAATAAAGTGGCCACGATGGTTCTGTGATGTAATTCTCACCCTTGTGAACAATCAAAACCAAAATTGCATAATGAAAGCCAGGCTTTAAAGATATCCCACACCTTTGCCACAGAAGTCTTAGAAATCCCTTGTTCTTTACATGCCTTTATTTTGGTTATGCTTTTGAACAGTTTACATGACGTCTATGAGAGCTCCGAGAATAAGAACCTCTGTAGTCAATTTCTACACTGCCAAAATAATTAGGCACATTTTTGTGAGCTGATTCCAAAATAAATTATAATAACTTTTTTATTTCTAAGAGTTACCTCTTCCTGACATGGCTTCTAGCCAGCCCATTTGATGAGATTAACGAAGACTTAATTTCAAACCTGTTTCTCAGGCCCTAGATGTGGTGGGTTCTACCTTGGTTAGAGATTCCCTGAGTCCCAGTATGGAAAAGAGTGGTTGGGATCCATTAAATTTCAGTGTGTGTTTTAATTTCACAGCAGCTTGCCAGCTGTCTCAGTTAATTTCTATTAAGACTGAACATTTTATTTTAATTCAACTTGGCTCGTCTACAGACACTTTTCCTTATATTACTTTCAAGTATAATGAATTGGCTCATGATTAACATACGAAGGAAAAGCTTTGATTCTGAATCGTTTTTTCCATTCTACTTGTAGAGTTTAGGTAACTTTTATCTTCGTTTCTTAATGTAGGGAGATGCAACAATAAGAAAGATGCTGAGCTTCTGGTGGCCTTTGGCTCTCATTCTGGCCACACAGAGAATCAGTCGGCCTATTGTCAACCTGTTTGTTTCCCGGGACCTTGGTGGCAGTTCTGCAGCCACAGAGGTAGGCCATGCTTTGGGGATGTGGGGCTTATAATCAGCTTGGTGGGGCAGGGGGTGCTGAAACTGATGTCCAGTTCTTCTTGAGAGCTCAAGTAATTCTCCAATTTTAAATTACCTGACAGTCACCCTAGGAAACCATAAAGATCTCGTTCAGTGACGTATAATCATGTAATTGTATATTTTTATGATTATGGGAGAAAACCTGTCATGCCTGTCATACATCCTTCTTGCTTATCATATGAGGAACTGAGGCACAGAAAGAAAAGGTTAAAGGCACAGAACTCGCTGGAAGCTGGGCTAGCATTAGAATCCAGGTTTTCTGACTCCTACTCCGTTTTCCATGTCCACGGAGCCAGCACCGGCCTCTTCACCATGGGGGCAGAGGACGATGGAGCATGCCACGTGGCTGCCGAGTGGGACACACCCAGTGGCTGCAGGGCCGCTGCCTCTGTGTTGACCCAGCCTGCCCTCACCTGCCCTTCATCGTCATGCATGTGCCACCCCACCCGTCACCACCACACCCGCGCCTGGCCTGCCCACCTCAGATGGGGAGCTCCTTGATCGAACAGACTTTCTCTGGAAACTGGCAGCCACTCCAAAGAAAGAGTTGACTCATTTTTCCCTCTTTCAAGTTGGGTTTGAACAAATAGAATTACTTCATTGGCTTCCTCCTCCACTGCCCTCTGGAGAATTAATTCCAACTCTGGAACTGCTGCTCCCGAGGAAGGCTCATGGCTGCCCACGAGGGCCCCCTGTCCAGGGGCTGCCTTGCGGGGAGCGGTCTGGAGCCCTAACTGCACTGTCAGCATGTCTCCAGCCAGAGCCCCTGCCAGTTTCCATGTCCTGGGAAGCTGCTCATGTTCTCCTGGAAAGAGAAGCACATAAATCCGAAGCAGGACACTTTCTCTTGCTTCGGTGTGTTCCTGGATTTTGTTTTTTGAGTCATGAGCGTCATCTTGGGTGGCTACTGTAACACACAGTTTTTGTTCTTGAATACTTCAGTTCAAGTTTCTCATAAAAAGTATGGAACCCCCGCCACCTGTGTGCTAGAATTCCATCCTCCCCTTTAACAAAAGAAAAAGGACAAGTATACATTAGAGCCATTTGAAAATTGCCCTCGATGGCATATAGGAACAGCACGTGGGGTACAGCGCTGGCATTTATTGGTCATCTGCTCATGTGCCAGGCATTTATGTACATTTCCTTGACTCCCCAATAACCCTATGGGATGGATATTATTCTTACTGTTCCACCAGAGGAGCAAGAAGGGGAGCTGTGGGAGAGGTGGTGCTTTGCACAGCTGGGGAGCGATGAGGTGAAGGTTTGGATCCAGGTCTGCCCGATCCCAACACTCCTTTTTGTTCTAGCACACCACGCCACACCACACTTCCGTCACACTGCTGGGGACTTGCCTCATGTTCCTGGAACCTCCGGGCATTGCCGTTTCGTTAATTAAAACAGCTGAAGCTCGCTTTCCTCCTTCACAGGCTAGGCAGAGAGTTCAACATTGCCAGGATGTAGGTTTAGATGCTTTGTTTTCACTTTCCTTCCTTTTCATTCACATAGGGAAGGAACTGTCATTGTATTTTTCTCCTTTAAGAGGCGGGGTCTTGCTGTGTCACCCAGGTAGGAGTGTAGTGGTGGCACGATCATAGCTCACTGCAGCCTCGATCTCCTGGGCTAAAGCAATCCTCCCACCTCAGCCTCCTGAGCCACCATGCCCAACTAATATTTCAATTTCTTTTGTAGAGACGGTGTCTCGCTTTGTTGTCCAGGCTGGTCTCAAACTCCTTGGCTCAAGCAGTTCTCCAACCTCAGCCTCCCAAAGTGCTGGAATTATAGGCATGAGCTACCATGTCTGGTCAGAAACTCATATTTTCATGGAAACACATTGATAGCTTTCTGCACAAAATGTGTATTTAATTTTCTTAAATTAAAAATCTAAATTGGGCCATAGTGACCAAACAGCCTGGGAGTGAGTTGGGTTGGAAGGAGAGTAGCACAGAGCCATCAACAACCACCGAAAATGTCAGCGTCCCTGAAGGATGGAGTGGAGGCTTAGAGGTGGATCCCAAGGAAGAGACCCTCCGGAGAGCAGGGAGGGCTTGCAATTTCATTTTGAGAATCCAGAATAAATAGGGCTAGACTAGAGGGTTCTGTGTAGCTCAATGGAATAAGCAAAGATTCTGGAGTCGGGTGGACCTGGGTTGAAATCTTGGCATCTCAGAGCAGTGGATGGTCTTTTCCCATCTTTATAGCCTACACTTTAAGATTAAGGTGTAATAAAACCCAAAGGGAAGGATTGAAACTGTCTTTGCAAACATGTGACTGAGACAGTGAAAGAGATCTGACTTAACTGACTCCATCTTGCTTCTAACCTCCCAGCCATCCTTGTTCTTTCCTGGGCATAGGCCAAACTAACTTTGGGAGAAACTTATAGTTTATAGTTTAAACAAAAATGGTAAGAGCAAAGCAGACCTCCTCCTTGCCTGGGGACTAGATTGCCTTTGTAGAACTAGCATTAGCCACAAGATTAGAAATGATGCTTTAGGGGTCATGCAGCCGGAGGCTACAACATTCTGACCCTCCTAAGCTGCTCCAAAGATCAGTGCTTACTTTGCAGACCCTGCACTTGATGGATCAGCTGGCCCCACGCAGATCAATCAGCTGGCTCATCTGAGCTTGTGGCCCCCACCCAGGAACTGACTGAGCACAAGAAGACAGCTCTGACTTCCTGTGATTTCATCTCTGACCCCAGTGCTCGGGGAGACTGATTTGAATAATAATAAAACTCTGGTCTCCCTCAAAAAGAAAAAAAAAAAAAAAGAGAAAAAATAAAAGGAATCTTGGCTTCCCAGCCAGTGGTCTGCACCTCTGTCTCGTAGCACCCGCATAAAACATGATGCATCCCCGTTGTTTCACATCCACTTTGTTGGCTGGCTCATTCCACTCGCAAGGATGCGGCGGAGTGCCTGCCCCTAGGAGCCCAATTTGCTGTCAGTTCCCCCCGTCCCGGGCTGTCCTGTGCCTGCCTGATGTTTGCCCCCCAGTGTGGAGGGCTCTGTCCTCAGTGGCTGCACCTGAGCCAGCGTGCTTTGTCACCTACTGTAGCTCCTGGAGGACTTTCTGGTGATACCCTGCTAACTCTGCCACCTCTTCCTGTTGCAGGCTGTGGCGATTTTGACAGCCACGTACCCCGTGGGTCACATGCCATACGGCTGGTTGACGGAGATCCGTGCTGTCTATCCTGCTTTCGACAAGGTGAGAACCCGTGCGGTGTCGCGTCTGAAACACGCTTTTGAAATGACTGCTTGATAGACAGGGCTCTCTGACGAGGGACACTTTGTTGCTCCTCAGTCCTGCTTCCCTTTGTAAGGTTAATATGACGTTGGGGACGTTGAAGGAATATTTTCCTCAGAAAATAACAGGGGCAAGTTGAAGCTTGCCTTGACACTGATCCCGCGATGCTTTTCCAAAGTGATCTTCTGCAGTTACTTTCAGGTTATTCCCATTGAGAAATGATTTGTTTGCGAAAGGGAAAATAAACTTCCCCCAAAATCAATTTATGGAATTTTATTTCTGTGGTTTGTTTCTTTAAACGAATACTTTGTTGACCCCCTACCAGATGGCTAAGGTGTAGGCAGGAAGCCATGCTCCTGGCTTCATGAGGATGTGGTTCTCTTTCTGTGGGCTGGCCTACCTGCGTGCTCAAGCCTGGCCAGAGGCAAGACCTGGGTCCAGTGTTTTGATATGGCAGACGTATTCCAGTGGAAAGCCTCTGTTGACAGCTGCTGTGTCTCCCCAGCCACAAGAGTCACATAACCCTTCTGCCCCGTAACTTGTGACCCAGTCAGCACTGTCCCCCTGTCATTCAATAAAAGTCTATTTTATAGTGTTATGATTTAAACCTATAGACTTGTATTAATACTCTAAAACAAATGGCTGGTGAAACATACTCCAAAAATAGTCTACAGTGTTTTAAATGATACGTTGGAAGGAGGCAAACAGGCTGTCACTTCTTACCACGAAGGGCGCCTGTTGTGCCTTGAATGTCCGCAGAACTAGCAGCCACTGCCGGCATCACGCTGTCTTATCCCAGTCAGAGCCTGTGAGGTGAGGAAAGGAAGCCTCCTAGCCAGCGGTGTCCACAGCGCTCAACTCTGGCAGAATGGGCAGCTTGGCACTGGACCCTGGGTAATGCTGGTCCCTCCCGCCTTCCCCCACCACCGGCCTAACCTCTCCTGGGCACAGGAAGCCCTGGGAAGCCACACAACAAGGCTAGGCCACCGGCTGCAGGCTTCCCTCCTTTCTTCACATGGCCACCAGCTTTCAGAATGCCCCCCTGAGACCGTTTGTGGGTTCTGGGAGGGGCGAGGCCTGGGGAGCAGGGACTGGGGACCCCCTCTCCCCCACCACACCTTACAGCCTGGCCCAAGGGCATCCGCCCAAGCATCTCTGAAAGTGTGAGATGGAGACGGAGGATCAAGCCTGGAGTATCACCCACATCTGCCCTCCTCCTCCTCTGCTCCTGCAGTTCCCGAGCAGTTTCTCCGTTAGGGCGTGCTTGTACAAACACACACACACATCCACCCCCACACACAGCCTGCTCCCACTTCCCCATCAGGACATTCTTCCACTGCCAGCCCCCAGGCCACTCTTCCCTGTCTCTATCACTTGCATCCTCTATTTCCCTAGAGATAGAGGATCACCTGGGAAGGGTAACCCACCTGAAAACCAGTGAGGGATTCCCCTGTACTGAGCTAATGGACGATAGGCCCCGAACCCTGTACTGAGTGGAATTTCCTCAGTGGACCATTAGTTAGGACCTGTCACCTACTGGACTGTGACTTAGGACCCATCACCTACTGGACTGTGACTTAGGACCCGCCACCTACTGGACTGTGACTTAGGACCCGCCACCTACTGGACTGTGACTTAGGACCCGCCACCTACTAGGACCCGCCACCTACTGGACTGTGACTTAGGACCCGCCACCTACTGGACTGTGACTTAGGACCCGCCACCTACTGGACTGTGACTTAGGACCCGTCAGCTACTGGGAATATTCTGTTGCAGCATCAGGATGCAGAGATCTCCTAAGAAATGCTTTTGGTTCCTGCTTCACAGGCCTCTGAGAGTGGACTCAGAAGGCATGAGTCACTTGCTGGAGAGAGCAGACACTGTTTGAGTGGGTTTAATTCAGTCTATAGATAGAAATCATTGTTTTCATTTCAAGGCACGTGTGTATAGAAGTAAATCCTAGAAAACCAGCATGAATGTATGTCTTTTTGCTAAATTTCAGTTCTAGCTCCTGATGAATAAGGTGATCATCTGATGAAACTGATGAGAAGGGCAAGTGCTGAAGTGTTAGAACCTTCTGGCTGCCTAGGTCTCATCTGAGATTATTTTTGGCCACCTTGAAATCATAAAATTTAACAATACAACAGTGTATGGTTTCAGTAAGAGCATCCAAGAAAAACATTGTTTTATTCTTGATCACAGAGGCTAGGAGCTATAAAAGAAATTCCTTTAACGAGCATACCTCTAGCCAGAATTTCAAGTTACTCCAAATCCTTTTAAAACCTCGCCCATTGTTTCCAAGCATTCCAGCAAGCCACGCCAGCCATTTATGTGAATACCATCTATTCACCAAAATCTTAGGCACCTCCATGTGGACTTCCAGAATTTGCTGCATTGACAGTTGAAATCCTTAGCTTCTTTGTGGGCTCCAGAATCAGAGATTTAAAATTTCTCACATACCTTCTGGGAGTTCTAGCTAAGTAGGAGCTGAGAGAGGTTTCCACTAGTGCAGATTCTCTCTAATGTTCAGTTCTCTGCAAAAAATGATGCTTCTGAGCCAACTGGGCCAACAAACGGAAACGCCAGTGCTAATCTAATGATACCTGCTGGTTTATTCCAACGATCTTCATGTGAATATGTGCCATTTTGCAAATCACAGTGCCCCTGAAGGAGCTGTGGTACATTGCTGTCCCCATGGCAGTATGTGTGTTTTGCTGAGGTTCCCTAATTCTTTCCAACATAGGCCTCCTTCTCATCGTACCCAGCAGGGCACTGCTGTTAGAGCGGTCCTCTAACAGATCCAGGGTGAATGGAGATGGAGGTCTCCAACCACTGGGACTTGTACTTTGCCGTAGAGCAGTCTAGAAAACAGATATGTTTTAGAGACTAGAATTAAGAAAACGTATACTCACTCAGAGGTTGGTCCTGGTGGTGGCAGGGATTTGAGAAATGACCTTAGCCTCCCAGTAAAGGAAAATCACAAGCTCTTTTCCAAGTGGATCCTGTAGTAGCTGTGGGTGTGTGTTTCACAAGGCTGGATGCGGAGCCAGGTGTTCAGGGTTTGTTTTTGTGAGTCGGCTCTGGGACTAATTAGGTCCATAATGAGGCCAAGGTTATTTTTCTCTGCCAGTTTTTGTGGTCCGGGGGCCAGACCCTCATTTTGTGGAGGTGAGAAGCACGCTTAGCATTGCAGCTGGAGAGCCTCGGCAGGCCCCTTTGACTGCCAAACTGGGGGACATCTGAGCCGCCCGCAGTCCTGCTTGAAATCCAGTGCAGCAGATGCTCTTGGGGTATCTCTTCTACTCAGATGTTGTGCTGAGTGCTTCTAGGGGAGACACGCAGGGCGTTATCTCAGCAAGCACAGCCTCACCGGGGTTGGACGCATGACAGGATGTGATGCCTGCCCTCAGAGAGCTCCAGGTTCATTGGGCTTTACAGGAGGTAGGGCTCAGCTTGGAGGTCAAAGGTCAGAGAGGCTTTTGGGAACAGATGGGTTGTGAAGATGATGGGCCTTCGAAAGAGGGATGTTTTTGAAAATCAGGATTCAATGGCAGGAGGAACAAAAGCGCCAGGTGTGTCAGGGGAAGAGCAGGAAGCCCCATTTGGGCTAGAAGTAGAGAAGTCACGGCTGGAAGGTGAGTCCATGTCAGATTGCACAAGGCCTTGAATGCCCGGTGGGATTTATAGTCCATTTGGTAGGGAGGAGAGGAGCCCTGGAGGCCCCTGAGCAGGGCCATGGCATTTAGGGAGATGCCCATGGTGGCCAGATACAGGGTCTGCTGGGACCAGGAGTGGGGTGCATGGGGCAGGAGCAGGCTTCAGAGCTGAAGCCCCAGGACTGGGCGAGGTGGGCCACCCAGGCCTAGGGGAGGTGACTGAGTTGGACGATGCTACAGGGCGTTGAGTCGAGAATTCACTCAGGTTAATGATCCTGTGCAGGGACCTGACAGTTGCCCAAGAGACACTCACCATGACAGCCGCCTGGCAAACTGTCACTTGAAACCTCTTTTCAGACACATCAGATAAAACAAAAGCAAGATGCTCTTCAAGATCCCCTGGTGGGTTCAGCCAAGGATAAGCAGGGCCCATTCATGACTGTGGTTTTCTTTCCCCAGAATAACCCCAGCAACAAACTGGTGAGCACGAGCAACACAGTCACGGCAGCCCACATCAAGAAGTTCACCTTCGTCTGCATGGCTCTGTCACTCACGGTAAGGACAGAGGCTCTCTCTGTCTCTTCTCTCTTGGTTTTTGTAAAGGGGCAAGTTGCTATTTTAAAGGGGGAAATCTTACTTTCCACGACGTAATGTGATGCTAGATTAAATTAGCAACCTCTTCAATACATGTTCTTCTTCAAATGTGAACGATTGTTATTCAAGGAGGCCCTAGAGTCTAGGAATAAAGGACCTACTTCAGGCGTTTCTTGGGACTTCTCAAATGCTGCAGAAAGGAAGAGGTTGCCTTTAATTGGAATAATACACTTGTCTTGCTGAAAAATTTCCAGCCCACTTTTTAAACATCAAGAGTCAACTTTACAACCATCCCTGTCTCTTTTCCAAATTTAATCAGCATTATTTCAGTTTTCCCCAGTAAAAATTCCTTTCCAGTTATGTTTGTGCTGACATAGCCTACTTACTTGGCCATCGCATGCCCAAAGGCATGGAGCCCCTGTGGGATCCCAGGCCCGTCTATCTGCTGAGGATACAGCTGTGAGCAAGCATGTGTGACACTGTGTCAGCAGCAAAGCCTGTCAGTATTTCTATGTACAACCTTAAATAAACAACACACATCCTTCATTATCAAGCCCCTGCGAGTAATTCAGGTGTGTTTGAACATTGATAATGTTCAAAAAACATGGAGAAATTAGGTGCATGCTTTTTAGTCCAAAGGACATGGTATATAATTTAAGGTTATTTAGAGCATTTATCAACAGAGGCAAAAAACCTACCGTTTATAAACAGCCTTCCATTGGAGACTGTGCCCTTTGGGTTATAAAGATGGAGATGAGAAGAGAATAAAAAGAAATAAAGGTCTTTTGAACTTGGTTCTGCTTTCCATTTTATTGTTGTGACAACACGTGTCTTATTAAATCCTGTAGAAACGTAATTCACATATACAATAGAAGTATTTGCAGAAATGTCAAGATGTGTGCAGTTGTCATTGTCAATAACTAATAAAGAGGACCGAAGGCCATGAAGGTGTTGGATTATGCCAGTAACGGGAACACAGGAGCTGGGTCCTTCTTACCTTCATCACAAGAACTGTGGAGCTTGATGAGCTCTGTTAGTGGGCCATTAAAATTAAGGCCTGCGTACATTTTAAACCTTTAATGGACATTTTGAAAGCCTGCAGCTTAATATTTGATCCGTTGATCCAACACCTAATTAGATTGTCACAAGGGCAGTGCCCATCACAGAAGACCTCTGACACTGCCGAGTCATGACCTCGTGTCCTCAGCTGCCCTTGTCACCACCAACACAGCCCCTTTTGCCAGCCTGTCCCTGTGGAACATGGGGGCGTTGGGAACCTATTCCAGCACTGCCTCACTGCAGAAGAATTTCTGATAGCAATGCCTGTTTGAGCGGGGCCAGTTCCCCAGGCAGCCCTGCTCCCCTGTTAGCATGATTTCTCTCTGTGGTGTGCAAGCTTTTCCATAGTTCCCCTAAAACATTAGCAAAACACTGAGCAACTTTGAAACCATTTAAAAGAGCATTTTAGGCAGAACAGAGCAGGTTTCTATTCCAGGAACAGACCTCAGCATTTGGAGACTGTGTTAATGGCTAGAAGTCCAAGGTTGACTCTGCTGTGAGGCCCTATGACTTGGACCTCACCTGCTTATGAAGCTGACAACTCCTGGCCGCCGCTGGCCCTGCAGTCCAGAAACTCGCCTCCTCTCTCTTTCACACTGTTTAACATCTTCCCGCAGCTAGAGTTGAATCTGATGGAGAGCTTTACCGATTGAGCTTAAGGACATTCTCCTCTCTTTCAGTTCACAGGCAGTAATTTATACTTCTAAAAAGATTATTCTGCAGCAAGTTTATTTTGAAATGATGATGACTTATAATCTGGGAAAGTGCTTACATTTCCCAGGTAGAGGCTTTATTTATTATTCTAATCCTCTATCTAAAAACCATCTGTGACTTGAAGTTTCTCAGGGTAAATTTTCACCTTCTAGAAATAGAGATTCAGAACCCTTTGTCGGAAAGGAACTTGGAGATGAACTAGTCAAAACCCATAATTTTTTAGAAGAGGAAATGATTCACACCGGACAAGTGACTCGTCCAAGTATCCAGTAATAGAAGCGGCTACAGCCCAGCCTTCAGGGCGTGCTCTCCAGGACCCTGTCCTCTGAACCTCACTGTTCCCAGAGAGTAGGAACAAATATTGGCCCTTAGGCCTCCAGATCGGGGCACTCACCACCATGCCTGAAACGGTGGTTTCTTGCCCATTAAAAACCATAGTATTTGAGTTTATGGTGTAGGAAGAGTCTTACATACACCATCCTTACAATGATTCAATCAATTGATCCAACATCTTGGCTAAAGGAATTTTCACTGAAAGACACACAGAAAAAAATATAAAGGGAGATTTTTCTTTCTTTTTTTTCTTTTTTGAGATAAAGTCTCACTCTGTCGCCCAGACTGGAGTGCAGTGGCATGATCTTGGCTCACTGCAACCTCTGCTTCCCAGGTTTAAGCGATTCTTCTGCCTCAGCTTCCCCAGTAGCTGGGACTGCAGGCGCCCCCCACCACACCCGGCTGATTTTTGTGTTTTTAGTAGAGATGGCGTTTCACTGTATCGGCCAGGCTGGTCTCGAACTCCTGACCTCAAGTGATCTGCCCGCCTCAGCCTCCCAAAGTGCTGGGATTACAGACGTGAGCCACCGCACCCACCTAGAGATTTTTCTTTCTAAATTAAACATTAAACTGTCCCTGTAATGAGTACACACCTTATTCTATCTCTCACTGTATTCATTCTTGTACATCTTTTGCTGCTCTTGGGCTCCAAACTTCATGAGGCAGGGTCTACAATGTCATCTTTTATCCCCAGGGCTTAGCATCCTGCTTGACACTGAGAAAGGTCACAGTAACAGGTTAACAAACACAGGAATCAACTAATCCTTAATTATGAGACAGCGGTTGGTCAGGTACCGACAGCATTCACCCTTGTGAACGACTATCTTCTCATTTATGCTCCGTTTGTACTATCTTAAAAGCTTTTAAAAGGCCCTTGATTTTCTAGTCTACTTTCTTTTTTCTTGGTTTTGGGTTTTTGTTTTTTTTTTTTAACTTTTTGTATAGAAAGGGTCTCACTATGTTGCTCAGGCTGATGTCGAATTCCTGGCCTCCTAAAACACTGGGATCCGAGGCATGAGCCACTGCACCTGGCCTGTTTTTGTTTTTTGAATTTTGAAACTTCTTAATGTCAGGAAATAATGAAGCAGAGGTCATTGAAACCCTTGAAAGCAGCACACTTGGTGTTTATTTCAGCAGATGATTCTATGTATACAGTAGGAGCTGCGTGATGATGCCACAGCCCTCCACACATTGTCCAACATTAGCACGCTTTCCCGCACTCGGCTGCTTTGGGAAAATCAACTTTTGTCCCTGAGTCTTTGAGAAGAGCTGACCCCCAGGATCCTGTAGACACCCAATGACTCAGTGATTCAAAGGAAAACGTATACTGTCCAGAATCAAAATGCATCCTTCCCTCAGAACGGCCCCCTCTCCAGGCCCTGACATTTGGAGTTCAACACCTGCCTTTGCCTGTGAAAAACACCGCGGTGTCACTGCTGACCATTAGTAAGAAGCTCATTTCAGCATGCTACAATGATGTGTTGGTTTATTCCCTATTACACAATTTCTATTTAAATTTAGAGTATCTGTCCTACTCCAGAAGTTGGTTCTGCCCTTGTACTCTTATCCAGCAGTGTTGTTGATCACTGGGTTTTCAGAAAAGCAGCAGATGTCTTCTGCCCAGTGTGGAAGAAGGGCTGAAGTCAGAGGGGTGTGGAGTAGGAAAATGGAAGTGTTCGCGTTTTCCATTAGCGTCTTGCTTTCAGTCTTTCAGAGCTGCGGTTAGGCATGCTCGGCCGGAGGTTGATGGATTGGTCTCTCTAAACCGTCTGATGGGCATGAGGATGAGAAAAGGGGGTATCTTTAGTTGATCCAAAAGATTAACTTCAAAACAGTAGAACTGTCAGATGAAACAGAATCCCCTTGATAGCAACAAGGGAGCAGACACAGTGCAAACCCAGGTTAGCAAGGCGCCTGCGGACTGACAAGCAGCTGTTTGGGGTGAAGGGAAGCACAGTTCAAATGCGGCAGAAAGCCATTTGGAAGAACAGCTTCAGAGGGTCTGCTTTCACGGGAAGCGAGCGGGGTTGCAGCCACGCAGAGGAGACTGCGCCGCAGCCTCGCCATGCAAGGTGCCTCCGCCGGTGCTGGAATCAGAGCCGGTGGTCGCCTTGCCCTGAGCCTTCCCGAACAGCTGTGGCCGCTGTCGCTCATGTGACCGGCTGTAGAACACAGTGACAGTGAGTGTGCCGTAAAAGGCTGTACTTCTCTAGGTAGACACTCCTGGAGCCACAGGCTGAGCCGGCAGTGAGTGCACAGAGAGGAGCAGGCGCCGCAGTCCTTCCTCTCAGGTGGGGAAGGCAGCCGGCAGTGCTGACCTTACAGAAACCCAGCCTCCTCCAAACCCCTGGGACCTATCATGGTGCCCTCCCGGACTCTAGATGTGGGGATAAGATAGAAACCACTAACCGTCATGGGCTATATCTTCCAACAGTCCTTTTGGTGGGGAAGAAGTGTACCGAAAGAGTAACGGACCTCCCTATTCCTGGATGCCAGGCCCAGTGGTGAAAGCCAGCCCATCAGGCTGCTAAGTTTACCAAATGTGCCAATTTACCCAAAACATGACTTTTAAAAACTATTTCTGAAGTCCATAGCCAATCATATTTTAATAAACAGAAGTTTCTAACACCTTTGGATGCTTTTAGTTGACTAGTTTCCATTTTGATTTCACAATGACATTTTCAGAACATTTGGTGTTTCTCTTCTCAAGCTCCCTGCTCTGCTCTACTCTGGGGAGATAGTGCCAAAAGAGGGGGGCCCTCTGCTTGAGGAGACATAGAGAAGGATCCATGCAGAGCACAGGCTTGGCCTCTGCTAAGGTCTCCCCAAACCATTAGCACACAAAGGAAATGGGC